AGAATAGAATAGAAATTAGAATAGAAATTAGAATAGAATAGAAATTATATTCTAATACCCACCCCTGGGTAGGATACAAATAAGTTAAAAAAAATAAAGCTTCCCCTCACACAGCCCAGACCCATGCGTACTCTTCAAGTAACATTCCCCCGTGTATAAACCCTGCTAACAGAATAGACTAGAATAACAAAGTTGGAAGGGACCTTTGAGGTCTTCTAGTCCAACCCCTGCTCAGGCAGGAAACCCTGTACCACTTCAGACAAAAGAGAAATATTATTAGACCTGATACTCCTAAATAAAACAAATAAACATCTAAATAAGCAAGCAAGCAAGGAAAGAACTCAATAAACGAACTGTTGTGGTCCACCAGCAGCCTGCAGAGCTGGCCACAGAGTCGGACAGTGGGGAGGAACGTGGGCCAGTCCTGGAGTCTGGGAAAGTCTCGGACGAGGGTCCTGCGTCCAATACAGAGATGGAGCCAGGGCCATCTGGGAGTCATGTGCTGACTCCGGAGCCTCCAGAATCTGACATCAGCAAGGCAAAGGAGTAGAGGGAGCCTGTTCCCAGTGCGCACATGCACAGAGCTGCCAGAAGGCAAGTTAGGACAAAAGGGGAGACTTGGGAGTAAGGCTTGGAGGTGATTGGCCCCTCCCATAAGACATAAAAGGAGGAGCAAAGGGACAGGAGCCCTTTGCAGGAAGCAACTTCGTTCGTACTGGTCGGTTTGAAACCTGAAGCTCCGTGTTGACTTTGTGCTCCGTTTGGCCTCGTATAACTAATAGGCAGTTTAGGCGTTGGCAGCCTTTCAAGAGAGATAAAGGTGGGTGCTTATCAGCCTTATCTCGAAGGACTTTGGCAGACTTCCGTGGGACTATTTATTTACAAACTGTTTGAGACTCATTACGGGCTGTGAACGACTATAATTCACAGCCGTTGAAATCAAGAAAAAAAAGGGTTTGGGGACTGTCTGTTTGGGACCCTAACCCTAACCCTGACTGTCTGTGTCTGTTAGTGTCTCCATAAGCCTTGGTTGGAACACAAACCACCCCCAACCCTTCTGCACCCTTGGGTGCAGTTGCTACCCTTCTGCTCCAGGGAGGGCTGAGGCCAAACTGCCTCGAACGGAGACGCGCCTGTGAAAATATCTACGCCACTCCTCTCTTGCAGATAATTGCCAACCGTTGCCGGGAGTCCGTCACACTTTCCCCCTTTTGTTTAACCTAGTTTTTCAGCCTGTGAAACTTTTCCTGCAGGGAGTTTGGCAACAGTCAAGGATGAGATAAGCCGGTATCTGTCTCTGCGCAAATATAATATAAATATAGAAGAAGAGCTTTAGGACTTTGGTGGTGGCTATTCGGTGTTCACAATATGTGTGTGGGGTTTTTTTTGGGGGGGGGGGGAGGGGGCCAGAGAGAAGGGAAGGCCTATCGGCATGTAAAAGACCAAAAGTTGTGTGTTTTGTGAGGACGATTTTTGTGGCTGACTCACCCTCTGGTTTGCAAATCTTCCAAATTGGAGGCGTTCCATTCCGAACCCTGCACAAACGGGCAAGAAAGCACAAACACAACAGTCACACTAGAGCACAGCTGGTCATGCAAGTAATATTTTTCCCTGCCTAAAGCAGGGGGTTGGACTAGAAGACCTCCGTGGTCCCTTCCAACTCTTATTCTAGCTATGTTACTAATAATAGTAATAATTTTTAAAAAAATGCCCAAATAGGGTGATATCAGGTGCAAGAAATATTCAAAATTCCTGGCTCAGAATCTTTGACCGTTGTTGTCTACCGGTTGGTCTAAGATCCTGCGGGAACTAAGGGTTTATCAACTTTAGCAGTTTTGAGAGGTGTGGACTTTAATTCCCAGAATTCCCCAGTCTGCAAGGAATTCTGGAAGTTGAAGTCCACATGTTTTAAAGTCACTGAAGTTTAGAAAGATTGGCCTAAGCCAGGAGTGTTCAACCTTGGTTACTTGGAGACTTGTGTGGACTTCAACTCCCAGAATTCCCCAGCCCGCCATGCTTGTTGGGAAATTCTGGGAGTTGAAGTCCACAGGTCTTAAAGCAAGGGGCCTTCAAATTTGGCAAGTTTAAGACTTGTGGACTTCAACTCCCAGAATTCCTGAGCTAACATAACTGGAGGAGGAATTCTGGGAGTTGAAGTCCAAAAGTCTTAAAGCTGTTAAGTTTGAAGAGCCCTGCCTTAAACCATGCTGGCTAGGGAATTCTGGGAGTGGAAGCCCACCCCTCTTAAAGCAGGCTGGCTGGGGGATTCTGGGAGTGGAAGCCCTCCCCTCTTAAAGCAGGCTGGATGGGGGATTCTGGGAGTGGAAGTCCTCCCCTCTTAAAGCAGGCTGGATGGGGGATTCTGGGAGTGGAAGTCCACAGGTCTTAAAGTGGACACCCCTGGTCTAAGCTGTCCAGTTCTTCCAAAACCGAAGTGCCTGTGTAAGCACGGTGTAACCCCAGTGTAAGCAGGATCACTTTGGAAGCGGTGGACGGGGAAGTGAGGAGTCCATCTGCGTGCGACTGGAACCCTGAAGCCTGAGCGAAGAGGGCCGTTGCACCCCAAGGCAGGAGAGTCTCACCAGGAAGACGTGGTCGAAGATCTGCGTGGGGCTGTCCATCTGGCCCAGAATGACGATCATTTCGTTGTCAATGAATTCCTTAAATTCACGCAGGTTGCATGCCATCTGCATCTCCAGCTCCGTGCGGATCTGGGGTGAGAGAGAGAGAAAGAGAGAGAGAGAGAGAGAAAGAGAGACAGCCTTAAGGGAAGAGCCTTTCACACATTTTGTAAAAAAAAAAAAAAACCAAGTAATTTAAAAAATGAAGTCTTTTAAATAAAACAGACAAAAATAATTTTAAATACAACACAGTTTTTGAGTTATGGCCACAGAGTTGGAAGGGACCTTGTAAAGTCATCTAGTCCAGCCCACCCACCCAAGCAGGAGACGCAAGAACTAGACCATTTTCAGAGAAACGGTTGGTTGTCCGGTCTCTTCTTAAAAGCCTCCTTTCTACTCTTTTCCCTTTTCCTTTCTTCCCTTTTCATCTTCCTTCTTTCCTTCCTTCCTCTTCCTCTTTCCCATTCCCATTTTCCTTTCTTCCCTTTCCCATTTTCCTTTCTTCCTTTCTTCACTTTTAATCTTCCCTCTTTCCTTCCTTCCTCTTTCCCGTTCCCATTTTCTTTTCTTCCCGTGTCATCTTCCTTCCCTCCACTTTTCCATTCCCATTTCTCTTTCTTCCCTTTATCACCTTCCTTCCTTCCTTCCTTCCTTTCTTCCTCCCTCCCTCCCTCCCTCCCTGCCAGAATCATAGAATCCTAGGGCTGGAAGGGATCTCAGAGGTCATCTACTCCAACCCCTCCGTCCAAGATACACCTTTCAGACCATCTTGGCCAAATGGCTGTCCAGTCTCTTCTTGAAAATTCCAGTGATGGAGCAACCACAACTTCTGGTGGCCAGCTGTTCCCCTGGTTATCTTAGGAAGTTTCTCCTGAATTCCAGGTTGCTTCTCTCCTTGATGAGCTTCCATTCTTGTCCTGCCTTCAGGTGTTCCAGAGTATAGCTTAACCCCCCCCCTTCCTCTTTGGGGCAACGGGCCGGCAGGGAAGCCCTGTCGGTCCCCCAAGGTCTCCTTCCCAGCCCCCAACTCACCTCCTTGGACGTGATGTTCTCCAGATCCTTCTGCATCATGATCTCTCTCAGTTTGGTCTTGATCAGCCGCTCCGTCCGCTCGCGCTCCGTGGGGCTGAAAGGAGGTGAAGCCACAAGGGAGGAATCAGGAGGAGGAAATGGACGCGGGCGAGGAAGGCAGAGGTGGGATTCAGCCGGTTCCGGAGAACCGGAAGCGGATACTTTTGAGATCCAATCCTGCCTCGGACTGGACCCGCCAACCCCATCTATTCTCTGCCTCCCATGGAGTCCCAGCTGATCGGCTGGGTCTCCTTTGGTTGCCCTGCCCAGGAGAACGGAGCTGGAAAGCAGGTTAG